GACAGGTATGGAGGTTCGTGGTGTTCTCGTTTTGGGAGGCATCATGCTTGGTAGTCGTGCAGAGACCTTCGCATCTTCGACGCAGGTTCAGTCAACGGACCCGTTATTGTAACGAGATTCTTCTTCCATATGTGCGTCTTTTTAGAGGCTCCATGCGTCTGCAGTTCCTTTTCATGGACGACAATGCACCATGTCATCGCACAGTAGCTGCCGAACAGCTCTTAGAGAGTGAGGATATTGAACGTATGGATTGGCCGGCACGATCTCCGGATCTCAATCCCATCGAGCATGTAAGGGAATTTCTAAGAAGACGCTTGGCAGCTCGTACCCTTACCACCAGTAACGATTGGGGAGCTTCGATTGGCGCTGCAAGACGAATGGGCAGCAATGCCTCAACAACTCATTGACACCCCTCATTCTCAGCATGGGCAGACGCTGTGAAAACCTGCCTAGAAGTCAGGGAGATCATATCCCCTAACTAAAGACCGGATGTTTTTGCTGGACACCCATCACAGGGACGTTTCGGCCTTCAGTCGCATTGCGCTCCATGCTACTTTTTCAATCAAGCTTCTTTTTATCCCTCTGATTTCTCTTTTAGTAAGTGTTGCTTACATATTACACATGTCCTTACGTATTGGCGATCTTATGGTATTAAATGTGTTGATTTGGAAAGCTTTTGTACAAAGTTATATTGAAAAACCGTCTCATCCTTAATTATTGCACACCAGTGTATGTATGCGGCCCAGCAGAAAAAAAGGTTGAGTACCCCTGCTTTAGATTATTTCATCTGAGATTACTTGAAATCTCTTGTGTATGAGACATCGATGGCTAAAGTGGAAGATCTCGTGGTATTTTTTGTTATCGATTCAGATGACAACGAATTTGTTTAAAGGCATGCGACAGTACTTCGTCAGTCGTTGTCAGCTATGCTAAGACCTACGCAACTTCGAACAATTCATGTGATAATCACTTGCCGTTGCATTTCTGACGTCGAGCAGTGATGTATTGTTCATATCGTAAACATACTTTATATCTAATAAATGTATTTCCTACCTCTTATATTGCCTCTTTTCATTCCACCCAACATCACAACCTTCATAACTGTTTTTTGTGAATTATTTCTATTAAATATGGTGTACTCTGGTTATTTATCGTCGCCATGCTGCCACCCCCTTGTTTGTCGATCGAATTCGGCAACATCCTTTATTTCCATTAATTCGCATAGCACTTATTCGATTAAAGAATAAAAATACTACAAATAATAGAATTTGACTTAAATTTGGATGTATCGAAGTATGTAAAAAAGGCCCGAAAAATATGATTTAAAATCATGTAGTGGAATTTATTTTCTGAAGTTATCTTAAATTGAAATGATGAATGTTGGGCATAGGTACCTCTATTATATTTCAGAACTCTTGGAGAATTCGAGAAATGTGTGTGTGTTGTTGTTTTTACTAATGCCATCTGATCGACAAAGGCCAGATCAAGGTCCACGAAATTCATCATGGCATAGGGCTAAGTAACACCTGTCGTAAGTTTTGAGAACCATATAGATGCCAAAACTGTTTAGCCTGATTTCACCCCAATTTTCAGGAGAACACACTGGGGGTGATCAGGGGCCTCTCACCTCTTCCCCTTCTACTAACCTCACGAGAGGACTTGCGGCTCGATTTTATTTAAAAGTACCCTCATGCCTCGAAGGCACTAAAAGTCGTTGAACATCTTCTGAAGTAATTTTACATTGAAATGATAAATGTTGGGTACATAGATACATCTATTATATTTCAGAGCTTTTTGGAGAATTCGAGCAATGTGTGGTCCGGTGTATCTTGCTTTTAAAAGCCATTGAGCATCTTCTGATAGAAGCTAAATTTTCCCTACCGCAGCACATCCTCCTCACATTCTTGGGCCGTCATGAAACCCGGCATCACAAAGCAGTACCCCATAACTTTTTACTATTAAATACGATGGTACCCAAAACCATTATGCACATTGGCACGCGAGGGGAGCATTTTACAGATGAAGCTGAATCGGATCTGTCGCCATGTCGGCACCGCACGCATGTTTACTGTCACTGAATAAACAGAAGTGTGAAACATTTGAGAACACAGCCCTGTTCTATTTTTTATCTGAAATAGCTCCAGCACCGCAATACTGCAAATGATATCGTCCTTGCTGTGAAATCAATAGTTGTTTTCTAAACACGGACGCTCTCAACTAAGTAATAGTTCTGATCGATTTGGGAGCATGCCTACCCTATAAATGCTGTAAAAATGACAACAAAGCAGTTTTCCACCATTTTTTTCTCTCAATGGAGCGTCGATCAACACGTGTTGATGCTCACTCTGGTCGCACCGGCACCCTTCAAAATACTATAGTTAACTTGAAAGTTACGCATAACCTACACTAAATGTAATTTTTAAATTGTTAAAATTTCCTACTTTCAGGAGCTGTATACGGACATAGGAGGTTTAAATGTGGAAGAATTTGTGGATCAGTTAAGTGGAGCTCCACAGTACGACTGGGCGCTAGACAAAAAGACTAAAGCTCAGCGATTAAAGTTAATAAATAGGTAAATAATTATCTGTAGATTTCAGTCAAATGTATTTAATTGAAAACATAAAAACTGTAAGAAAGAATTACTATACATGAACAATTATAACACTGAAATTTGCTGTATCCACATTCTTAAACGTAAGACAACAGCAATTTTTATTGCGAATTTTTTTTATTAATCGCTGAATTAATATAGAAATAAAGACCTATCTACCTAAAGGAAAAATTGAATTTCTACAGTGAAGGCTAACGTGTAAAATGTTCCATAAATCTAATAAGACGCAAATGTCAATACTGGTCAATAAATTAAAAACCCAAGATCAATATTTTGTTGGACCACTAAACGATCCTTTTGCTGTGATTCATATGGCCATCTAGTCTATATGGTTTTGGAGTGCATACCATGCATTGGCTAAGTAGATCTTGTAAATTAGATGGAAGAGAGAGTGCTGTTGGAAGTACTTTTCCATTGCATCCCACACTTTTTGTATGGGGTAAGATCCGATCTATAGGATAGGCAGGGAAGTTGTTGGAAGTCAGACTGATGTTTAGCGAACCAATTTTGAACACTTCTGGCATGATGTTTAGTTGCATTATCATCTATGAACTATCTTCATCAGGGTAAAAATGCAACATTGCAGGGTGCTGCTAGTGCATCTAGGTATCTTACGGCTGCTTATTTCCCTCCAGAAACATCAAAGCCCCACTTCCAAGCCAGCAAAACATGTCCAATATCATGCTATTCCCACCAAACCCTTACACATTGCGAACAAGTCAAGATGAATTTATGACTTCGGGGGTTCTCGTGAAATTCGACGTTTTTCCACCAGATGTTGTAAGAGGCTCGCGCCTCTTTCTCGGGCACCTAAATATGTGAGGGGAAGGAAAACACTCGGCATGATCCAATCAATCTATTTTATTTATCACACAAAGAACAGACACAATTTCAATAATTGTAAGAAAAATGTCACAATGCTAACCGCGAAAGTGGAACAACGACGGTAAAAACGCGAACGATTAGAGACTATCAAACTTGATCCTTACCCTTAATAAAGGATCTAACCTATCATCCGAATTAGTCTTATATCAATTAAATCTTAGTGAACAATAGTCACTTTAAAGTTTCTTCCTAATAAGTCTCAAATCACAATAATACTAATATTATACCTTCATTAGCAATCTCACCTGACTCGAATATATCTTCTATCCTGTTCTCTCTATGCTGGAAAACTTCAACTATATGTAGTAAGTTAATTTTAGATATCACGATTTTCTTTCTTCCGAAGGGTTGGTTGTGAATAACGTGAATTGTTTGCCCAAAGATTTCACAAGAGGATTAGTTCGAGAATCGCGTATAGATCCGTTACAAACTCATAAAGTAGTATTGAATTCCATGCATGCAGAAGTCGTCACGAATTGAGTTAAGAAAAAGGAATTGCAGCACGTATACATTAAAACAAAAAAGAAAATCCATTATTTAATAATTAATGAATTTGGATAGTACAAAAGAATAGCAACGACCTCAGTCCGAAAATATGGCAGGAAAAACAAAAGAACAAGTAATATAAAAAAATTAAGTCAATTCTTACTTAGGTAAACAAATTTTTTTTTATTTTAGTTACTTTTTATTAAAAAGTTACAATTTATATAAAAATGTATATACATATTGCAATGGATGGGCCAACCCATCCATTAGTGTATGAGAGTCAGAAGGAAGATAAGCCACATATAGTCAATACAAACTCTATTGACAATTCTCAACAACGTAACAAATATCAACAACCCGATTTAAAAAATGAACCAATAGTTTAATATGGGATCAATAGAGGTAGGCAAGATAATTGGATATGTAATAATAAATCGAATCACTTACACTTAGCATGTTTAGGCAATACACCTTCTTATATTTGAAGATAAATTCTAAAGTAATCTAATTCAAACCGACCCGAATCCAATTTAACAACTAATTGACCAAATCGTTAATCTTAATATTAATCAAATAATCTACGAAACCCTCTCACCTAGCTTTACGTTAATCACTACTTGCCATTCTGTTAGCTTTTAACCTCCCCGTCCAATTCGAGCTTGAAAGTTAATCTTTAAATACAAGCCTTGATTTGAATAAATTACGTCTTCTTCGGAGGAAAGTTTTCAATAGAACAATATTTAAGGACTCATTATTCCCCAAGATGATTATTAGTAAGAAGAATGTGAAGAGACTCGTTACAATATGACAGAATTACAATATTAAGTGATAAAATAGAAAGGTATTTTCCCTACAATTTTCCATTTTCCTTTCTATAAATATGGTTTTAAACTATTTTTGTTTGTTTGTTAGCCATTATTTATTCATTAATTAAATTTAATTATACTAATAAAATTGTATAGTAAAAATCACATAATCACACCTCGTTTCTGAGAAATCACATTCTCAGAAACGAGGTAATCCCAGGTGGGATTCGAGCCCACGACCTTTGGATTTGAAGTCCAACGCGATATCCACTGTACTACAGGGACACAACGAACGATTTTCCTTTCTGTATATAATTTTGTACTATTATTTTTGTTTGCTACTATTTATTCATTTTTTAAAAATTTAATAAATGAATATTAACATTTTTAAAAAACTGTATTAGCACCAAGTGTCATCCACTACAAGTTTTAAAAAATGTATTTAAACTTGAATGGATGAATAGAGAGTATTTTATTAACCATTGAAAATTTAAACACGATATATATAGAGAGAGAAAGTGAACTAATAGTAGGAATTGAAAAAGAGTTGATAAGAATTACACAAGTGATCAATCGCCCAATATTGCTACAAGTATCAGGAAAAGTATCGGCAACTGTAAATATTGTTCGTCACTATCCTCACGGTTTTCAGTAATAATTCCGTAGTATTAATAAAATCTAAAAAAGAAAAGGGTTTTGTTTTTTGTAGATATTTTTAAGATGACTCAGGGGTGTTAATTTTGTCTGGAGAGCTGAAAATATAAACAATTTTCGGCTAGATATAATTTCTTTGAGCTTAAAATTAAATATAATTCAATTATTTTACTCGTTATTTTTGTAAATGAATGAGGTTCCGAAAAATAAAATGCTTTTAAAATGTAATCATAATTTTAAAAATAATAAGCATATAAAATTAGTAACATTTCTGTGAGAAATATTAAGTAAATTTTACATTACGCAAGATATTTTCTAAAGCAGTAGCTTTTAATTAATAAAACCTTATAGAATTATAAAGCTTTTTTAATCTCGTTAGTCCCTACCTAATCTTAATATTGTATATTTTTGTTTATTTAAATAAATTGAAAAATATTGAAATTCAGAAAAAAAAATGTAATGTAATTTTTAAATTACTTTTTATTTTTAAAAATTACTATTTATTTTTTTAAAAAAATACTATTTACTTTAAATTTCTACAGTGTGTATATATTTAGTTTTATAAATCAACTTAATGCTAGTAATCAGATCTGCTATTTTAGAAAATAGCAAGGGCAACGTAAAACTTAATTAATATTTGTATCAGAAAATGTTTCTTATTTTCTTTTCATATGCTTATAATTTTTAAAATTAGAAATTATATTTTAAACATTGTAGATTTTGAAATTTTATTCCTTTATAAATAATATGTAAAAAGAATCAAAATGACTTAGTTTTTAAAAAGTCAAAGAATTATATCTAATAGAAAATTGTTTATATTTTCATTTCTCAAGACAAAATTAACATCCCTGAGAAGTAAAACGCAAAAGTGTCCTCTTATTTTGCATTTTTAACTAAAAAAAAAAATACTTTATCATTTCCTTTTGATTCATAAATTTTCTTTTATTTATTTTTTGTTTCAGAATTGCATTATTTTACAATCTTCATACAAGTACTTTCAATTTTCCTCTTATTCTGGGCGTCGTATGCAGCATTTTGTCAAGTCGCCCATTTGCCATTCAGGAATTAATGATGATTCCTCGTCATGTACTTCAAATTTATTTATTTTCGAAATATTTTGTACATTTTTCAAATAAAAAACATTTATAAAAAATGAGATCATAAAAATTTCTTCCAAACTTCATCATATTCAAACTTTTTGCTCAGCTATAGATCACAATTATTCCATTACATAACACAAATTGAAAAAGCAGGATAAAATAAAAATTCAAAGTATGCTCATAAGTTTTTTCATGTGTAAAAATATTTTTAATCTTTAAAACATGAAAACATGTTTTCTAAAAATTATACTTGTATAATTCATACTAAAATTTCATTTGTAATAATTCAAATTTATTCCTTTTGATGCAATAAACAATAGTTAACCAAATATCATCTTGTTTGATTTTATCCTGTAACATTCAATACCATTATTTTTCAACGGGAGCCAACGTTCATTTTTCGAAGTACTAAACTGAACTGAAAAAAGAGCAGTATTCTTTTTTTTGTCCTTTACAAGATCTCCCTTTTACAGAGAAATAATTCATTTGAATTTAAATGATTAAATTACTGTGAATTTAGTTCAATGATGAGTAATAATTTAATTGCATGTGCATATTTTGTTGTGATCACAACTTGAATATTTTTTGTTCAAATGGTATATCATACATTCTGTTCAAGCTAAACAAAGATGTTTATTTTGTTATTAACTCTCTATTTGAAAATTCACAGCCGCAAATTTGAGGAACAAAAGCATGATTAAATTTTTAATGTGAATTTTTCTGGTCTTCTGTCCTAACTAGACGCATTTTATAGTAGAATTAAAGTATATTCAGACATGGTATTCCATCGGATGTAATTCTTAAGGCTACACTGTACCCTTTTTCAAAAAAAAAATTTTTGGAGACAGTTACAGTAAAAATAATTGATGTTTTATATTTAGATTATATTATTAAGCTGATTCTGTAAGCAAAAAGTCAGTTTGACCAGCCATTATTTTACAATTTTAAAAAATTAGGAATTTTTGAAGTTTTTTCAAACTCTTATAAAATATTCAATTTTTAAAATGTTTTAGTAATTTTAAGTTATTTATTATTCTTAGATTATTACAAACAATATTTAGTATGGATTTGAAAACCTATTCCCTTGTTGATTTTTAATGATTATTTTTCTAGAAAAACCTGGAAAACACGAAAATTTTTAAAAAATATCAAATTTAGCATTTTTTAGAAAATAACTAGAGTTCTCAGCCCTGAATCCATACTAACTTTTTTATAGAACATACATTTGGGAGTATATACAAAAAAATTCAAGGCTCTATCTTGAAAGGAAAAAAAACCTTAGGGATTAGAAAATATTTATACCTTCAAAATTAAGAGTCTGAGAAAAACGCATTTAAAGTTTTAAAGTCATAAAACAAAAACTTATAATGTCCGTAGAACTCTAATTTTTAATATGTTATTTTCCAATGTATGTTCTACATTAAAACATTATTTTTATTAAATATGACTGAAAATTATATTTTTAATTCAAAATATATTTTTGCATAATATTGATAGCATTTGTTAAGACGTCAGTTTATTCAGCTTTTATCTTAACCCAATATTTCACAAAAGTTTTAAAACACGAAGCATTTATGTACAAAATAATAATGATACTAAATTAAGCTAAAAATAGTCAGGTTTGCTCATAAAATTTAATTTTTTTCAGTTTTAAATTGGGGCAGTTTAGGAAGTTTTAGCTCTTGTCGTACGACTTTAAAATACTAAAAATATAGTACTACTAAATATGTTTAGTATAATGTAGTTTGGTACAGCAAGGAAATATTCAGTTATGTCTGCAGCATTTGAATTTAGAATACTTTGTATTCGGAAGTCTAATTGCAGAATCAGCTGAGAACTAAATTTTAGATACATCATTTTCAGTAGTATTCCATTTCTTCGAAATATTGTTTTACACAGAAACCCAGAACGCATTTGCCATGGCATTTTCTCACAGGAAAAATTAATGATAAAGCTTTTTAAGTTATATAAACCATTTTAAGGAAAAATTGGCCATGAAATTTTATCTTTATTAATTAATTATGAGAACTCAAAAAACTCAAAAAACATAATCAAGCAGAAATGATTTTTAGTAATGAAAAATTGAATTAATAACCATTTCAAACTAAAAGTTCAAAAATATTTTTAATTAATTCAACTTAAGTATGAAAAAAATGTTTAAAAAAGGAAACCGAAACCAAAATCATGGCTCATAAAACTTCAAATATCTTAAAAACTAATTTGCTAACAGATCTGAAATTTCGTTGCAAGCATCTCAATGATATGGGCCACCAAGACATCTAAAAAAAAAATTTCGGTAAAAATGAAATTTTTAGGGTAATGTAGCCTTAACCCGCGGTCACTCGCACCTGTTTTGGCTACCGTCGTAACTCGCGGGGTGTAGAGAACATCCCAAACTTTTAACACGTGTATTTAATTATGAAAATAAAAATTAAGTCATTATGATACATATTTATAAAGTACAATATGTTTTTTGTATTATGCAAATAAAATTATTAAATTTATTGCATTCAAATGAGACTAACATTAATTTACTAAACACGCAAAATTTTCATTTTAAAACACATAATTTTATATTTTTCGTAAACCAGCAAAACGTATATACCAGTAGTATAAATATACTTTATAACTACTGAGATAATGGTAGTAGAAAATAGAAAAATAATATTTTAATCATTTTCCAAACATTCAGAACAGACTGTATACATATGTTCAACTTCTCGCGGGAGTTCTCAGCTTCCCAGATAAACTTTTGAAGGTCATTACATTCCAATCGTTCGAGAAGCAGGGATTGAATCAGCCTGAAAATTCAATGACCTAAAATGGGCAGCTACAGAAAAAATCGTGGTTTGGTGCTTCTTTTTTAGAATCCTGGAGGATTTTCTTTTTTGCTGGGGTGTACAGAACAACCGGCGCGGGTTAAAATAAAAAAAACCCCACAAAAATTGATCTCAGATCTAAATTTTTGGATCAATTTAATTAAAATAATTCTAATAATCCAAAAAGGCCTATTTTTGGCAAAAATATTTTTTTAATACAAGCTAAAAGAATGAGTTATTGTAATAGTTTTATACACATTAATTAATTTTCAAAACAAACATAAAATTTAAAAGAATTTCGTAAAATATTTTAAAATTAAGTAAATCTGGTAATGTTTATAAAAAAAGATTTTTTTATTAAATTTGATGTCACATGCGTGGGTGAAATATGTTTTGATCATTTGAAAAAAGATAATCTCAACGAGAGGTAAGTTAAAGCCTTTTAGTTTCGGCTTCACAGCAAACGGATGCATTACATCATACGATTACTAAGAAGGACGAAAAAGACACGTAGAACAAAAAGAGAGAAAGGAATGGAACGTATTCTTCACTTTAAGGTATCCGACTACGTTCGGAACCGTGATTTTCAAAAGTGTATAAATGGATAATTTTCATGATATTTAGTGTCACTTAGATTAGAATACATGCATAAAACTGTTTTAAGGACATTTTGAGAAAAAAAAATTTATTTAAATATAATATTTTGGCAAAA